TACCTGTGAATCTACAAGATCTGTTAGAGACAGCTCCTCTCCACCCCTACCCCTGTTTTTTTGTTGCTAATTGAAAGTCTCCCTCTTTGAGTATTCAGGATTTAGTATTGAAAAGCTTCCTATCACTCTGGCTGACATTCCTTGAAGAATTTTCATCCCTGGGATCTTAGCTATTCTTTTTTTTTTTTTTTTGTAGTGAGGCAATTGGGGTTAAGTGACTTGCCCAGAGTCACACAGCTAGTAAGTGTCAAGTGTTTGGTCTGAGGCCGGATTTGAACTCAGGTCCTCCTGATTTCAGGGCCGGTGCTCTATTCACTGCACCACCTAGCTGCCCCTACTTCCTCAGCAGTTTTTTTTTTTTTTAGGCAATTGGGGCTAAGTGACTTGCCCAGGGTCACACAGCTAATTAGTGTCAACTGTTTGGTCTGAGGCCACATTTGAACTCAGGTCCTTCTGACTTTAGGGCTAGTGCCCTATCCACTGCGCCACCTAGCCGCCCCAGCTATTGTTTTTCTAAATTCTATAAAATGTGCCTCCCCAAACTGAAGGTACATGTCTTAGTATGCCTGGCTTTCCCATCCTCATTCACATTTTCAAAAATGGAACTGTTACTTCCCCACAAAGTTCTCAATACTTCCATCTCGGGAAACTCCTAGTTGATGAGAGCCAGGTCCAGAACAGAAGTTCTCCCTATTGGTTTCTCTATCTCTTGAGGGATGACATTATTATTAAGACAAATGAAAATTTTAAAAAATACTAGCTGGTCCGCTTTGGGCAGAAAGAAAGAGCACATGAGCAGTCCAGGTAATATTAGTTCCCCACTACTATTACAACATGTGCCAGATTTGTGATCTCTTTCCTGAACTCCTAATCTATGTCTTTCTGTTCAGGTGAGGCATAGATACTTTTTGGGACAATATTGCTTCTTTTACTGCCTCTCACCCATTACGCCTTCCTTCTCTGGTTCATGGCTTTCCTCATATGTATGATTTAACACAACGCCATCCTACCCCACTTTTATCTTTTCTGTATTTTGAATAACTTAAACTCTTCCAGTGCCAAATTCCGGTAATAAACTTCAATCTAATCAAGTATCAGTGAAAATGATTAAGTCAAAATTTGTCCTCTTGCATAACAATCTCTAGTTCACCCTGTTTATTATCCATGTTATATGTATATTCAAGCACCTAAATACATGGATTTTATTGTTTGTCTTCCACTTGGATACTGTCTCATACGGATTGCATTTATTTTCTAATTTCTTTTTTGTATTTACTACTCAAAATGTTACCGGTTTTGCCAGATTTAATGTGGGCTGCTTTCTCTCTTCCCTTCCCTATTCAGTTTAAAGCCCTCCTAATTAAATTTGTAAAACTCCCAGCAAACATGCCTTTATTGGACCTTGTTAAGTACATTCCATCCTTTGTCAAGGACTCATCATTCCTGTATTTTATGCAATAGTCTAGAAATTAATTTAGCATGTTAGCTATCCTGAAGTACCTTTGCAGAGAGAACTGTCTTCTATTTAGAAGGGGAAAACATTGTAAAGCATTGTATAGTGGATAGAATAGTAGATTGATCTATTTTTGACATATATAAGCTAACTGACCACAGGACCAATCACTTAAAGTTTCAGTTCCCCAGGAAATCTTTTAAGACTCTAAATAGATTTACATCAATGACAGAGTCTGGGAGTTCTATACCGACAAAATCACTGGTTTTCACAACAACAACAATAACAGACCAAGTATTCAACCAGCATCTTACTTATACTCAAGTTCTTCTCCCCAACTTCTATTCCCTCTTTTTACAAGTGTCAATCTGTAACCGTTTTACAATTGACTATTTTAGGGAGTTCCTTTTGTACATAGAGAGGTTAAGTGATTTGCTCTGGGGTCATGTAGTCAATAAGCTCAGCAGGAGTATTTGAAGTATCTGAAGCTGGCTATTGATTGAGCCATGATGCCTCTCTCCATTCAAGACAAAGACAGTCAAACAAAAATGATATTTAATTTTACAAGATGCCAAAGCTAAAATTTTATGATTAGGAAATATGAAAAAAAAACCAATGACAAATTTTCATAAAGAAAGAATAACCATTTAATCATAACTTTCATTAAAAGAAGGACATCTAGGTCAATAAGCCAAATATTTTTGACTGATATGCCATATAATTAAGCTGTAACCTTGGAGTTACCTGGGCTTTTTTTTTTTTTCACAAAACAAGCTTCATTCTAGTAGTCTATCTGCCTCCCTACTGCCTCAAAGAACTACCTGAAACAGAAAGTTTTTGGTAGGGAAACACAGGAGATCAAATTGTTGGTTAGTACATTGGTAACCCTACCCCTGCCCACTTGGACCATTCCATCACTTAAGGTAAACCAAGAGCGAGTGTTTACTTTTTACAGCTTGCCATATCTTGAGAGAAAGAGGAAGAGAAAACACCAATAAAACACCTTGCTTCCACTAAAGTTTTATTTCATATGCCGTATCACAGAACGAAGGTGAACCATGGTTCTTCAAGGCTATACCTGTGAAGTTTCAGCTCTGATAGGTCCTATATCGAGTTAAGCAAGCCTTCAAGTACAAGCCCAAAGACAGGTTGAATGTCTAAATCAGCCTAGCCAAATTCAGAGAGGCTTATCATTAGAAGTTTCACATCCAAGTGGAAGTTGTTTTTTGTCACACCAACTACCCCAAGGCTTGGATGTGTTGAAATCTATGTTCCTGGAGGGAGTACTTACACTAATGTAGTCAGGGATCTTTAGAAATGAGAAGCATACTTTCTAAGATTTGGAAGACTCACCATAGCACCTATGTAATTACACATTTTCTAGGGCTAAAAGTAGCTAAAGAGGCATGGTATAGTGGAAAAAGGACTGGCCCTGGAGGTCGAAAAGCTAGGTTTAAATCCCACCTCTGTCAACATGTGTGACACCTTGGGCCAGTCACATAACAAACCTTCATGGGCCTCAGTTTCTTTATCTGTGAAGGGGTTGGACTTAATGGTCTCTGAGCTTTCTTCAAGCTCTAGATTTCTATGATAAAGAATCACAGAATTATTAACTCTTCAAAATATTTTTACCAATACAAGTCAATGCTTACATAACTGGCCTTCGTATCTACTGCAAAAATTCAATTCAATTCTGAAAAGAATTTTTTTTAATAAAGATAAAACGAGAAACGGCATGAGAAAGCTTGCTTGATTTGTTTCAAAGAAAGGCTTAGCATTAAGGAATAAGTGTTTATCAACATCACAAAGAATTGTTTCTTAATCTACAAAATCTGTAAAAATCTAGATTTAATAATGGATTCTAGTTAATGCACATGTCAAGAAGAATCAAAGTTGAAACATTTAGGACAAAGGACCAATTCAGTGATTTTTTTTTAAGACTAAAAAAAAATTCAAACCAAGATAGCTAGAATTTAGCAAATGGAAATACAGTGATACTAGAGGAGGGATATATTTGTGAGCTAATCAGCTAGATTCTTTAAGTGAATCATTTTTGGGGAATAAATTACGTACATTAAAAAAAAAAACAACACCTCTAGGTAACATCTGAAAATTGAATTTACATGGTACCCTAGTGTCATTAAATGGTTAAGAACCTAAATAATATACTTTAGCTGTTAAGTATTTAACTCATTCTCATTATACCAAATATGTTCCCTAACAATCTAAGGCTTTTAATATTTTGTGAGATGTTGGTCCCTTTCCTGAGTAGGGATGGAAGAAGCCATTCTTGAGCAGTATTAGAAGGGGCAGTGGTAGTGGGGAAAAAAAAACATACTATGGCTGTATAGCTCGAGGCAAAGTCACTGAAGAGTGTGCATCAGAGAAGAGGCTGCAACTGCAAGGGTGAACAAACCTCTGAGAGTATCCAAATGGACAGTCTCCTTCATTGGTATAGATTTATAGTACTTATCTATTTAAAATTTTTAAGTACAAACTCATTTCCATTTTAATAGAACTTAGTTCAGTTTAAATAATGTTCTCATAAAAAGTTTTACTCTAGGCTAGATGAGACTAGAGCAAGGCTAAATTATATACAAGGTTGATTTGCCTCTACCAGCCAAATAAAAGTTTAGCTATTTTAAGACAAAATGCTGTAATACGCTCCATTGTGAATGCCAGGAAAAACAAAGTGAGGACCCCCCTCCCTTTTTGTTTTCTGGACCCAAAGAAATCTGATCATTTATCACAAAACAAAGTGCCAAAATCTAGCTTTAAATTTCATCCTCCACTGTAATGTTTATTTCTTGTCTTTGTCTCTTAATCCCTCTCCTTTTTACTTAATTTTTTTTTAACACATTCTCCAAGTGAAGCCTTCTCTTCATAACTCTCTTCCACCTTCAGAGCAGTGGAAAGTATGTGGTATAATGTACTAGCTGGCTTCCTTCCTCCCACCTCTTTATTAACCAAGTAACACAAACACAGTTACTCAACCAAAAACCTGCATCCTGTTGCTAGCATTCACATCACTTACCCCGCAAAGATGAATACTTACGCAGATGATAATATGGTCACCATCTCCTCAAAGATGTTTGCCAAATCCTGATCCACAGGAGTACTAGATTTTCAGGGTTGATTTTTTTTTTTTTTAAGTACCATATGGAAATGAAATTACAATTTCAAAATTGCCATTTTTGGGGAAGCCACAGGTATTCCTGGGCTGTAATCATGCTTTATTCAAATCATTGCTTTATAATATGATGAAAGTATGAAAGTTATTTCCTTATGGATTGTCTGCTAATTTTCAACTTTCATCATAAAGGTTCAAATAATTAAAATATATGAATGCCTAAAGTTGGGCCTGCTTTTTTTCGCTTTATGTAAATCTTGGGCACAGACTGAAATTTAATTTTTTTTTAAATGAATTTCATTGATGTCTTTTGTTTTTACATTTCCTAAATTTTCCCTTATATTTCTCTTTCCCCTACCTCTCTGAAAACAATTCCCACATAACAAAGAAATTTAACCTTTAAAGGAATATAATTACCTCCGTTCCAAGGGGCGGCCATCACTAGAAATGCTACGAGGAATATTGGCAGCTCGTTCTGGAGGTTGCATCTTCCCATCTCCTTTTCCAGTACCCATTCGAGAAATCACCGGACTCTGGACCTGGGAGGGTACTTGGGACCCATGAGGTCCTTGCCCCTTGTTGGCATTTCTCTGCCATTTGTTGTTATTTCTGAAGGGGAATTTGAACTCATAGGAAACCCCTTCATTCATTTTGTAGTCCATCACTGGCATGCGGTATGTTTCAGAGCAGCTCCTGTCAAGACATGAGTATAAGGAAAAACAGGTGAAGGCCTCTTTTCTTACTTGGTAAAACTTCACAACCTTTTATCAAGTTACAATGCAATGAAAAGAAATCTCACTGCTAGGCATATACCACCATGAGGCCAAAGGCAGGAAGGTATAATACACCAAAATATTCATAGAAGTACATTTTGCTGCAGCAATCCATCAGTCAACAAATACTTAAGCACTTAATTATGTGCTAAAAGCAGTGCTAGGTGTTGGAAAGAGAATGACAAAAATGCAACAATCTCTATCTTTCAAAAGCTTACAATCTATTGGGGAACACACACACACACACACACACACACACACACACACACACACACACA